CGCGAACTACAGCAATGCTGTTCCGAAAGGTAAAAGAATTTCCTAATTTTTATAAGGTGTCATCGCGTTTTGCTGTAACAGGACATCGTCGTTAATTCCCGATCATAAAATACCCCCTTCCTGCTCATAGCCAGTGGTTGTGCTTTCAGAGCGTGCATTGCGAAAAATGCGTGAGGGAGAAGGCGCAGCTAAAGAAGGGGGTACCCGATAGACGTGAAAAAAGGCCAAGAGCTCACTAGTATTGCAGAAGAGCAGACTTATAGGCCCGTAAACGATCACTACCACCCCCCAAAGCTCCTGTTTCTATTACCTGAGCAGCCTCTCCATCCTGGATGTCCTGTGGTCTCCTTCCTCACTGTTGATCCTACTCTGTAGATTCAGAATCTTCTTCAGCCAAATCAAGCCTATCGGATCCCCTGGTGCTTTAAAACTACCCTTGTTGGTCCCTGATGGCCTAAATGTGTCCTTAATGCGATACTGTTAAATGGTATCCTACATCTCTCATCACATGTTTGTTCTATCTGCCTTTAGTTTCTTCCCGTTGTAGCCGTTCGCAAGGTCCTCTCTGACGACCACCTTTCCAACCTTTGCGGCCGTTCGCCGCCTCTTCAGGGTTTTATCGTTCTGATTTGACGTTTCCGTTCCGATATGTTTTCTGCTGCCGACTCTACACAGTTTTTCCGAGAATAAATGGTTCTGTAGGACCAGAGTGTACATATGATAAAGACTGATGATCGAAGGCTTCACAAGAAATCAAGCATGGGAAACTATCTCTTTGCTAGTATAAGCTTGAATTTGTTCCGTAAATATTGCCTGTTTCGGTAACAAGTACTCGAAGAACCGTGGAAGAAGATCACTGCAGGACAGGTTATCCGCAGATCATCATCGATGAGGAAAATGGGTGCTCTTCTATCGTCGATAGTGCTGGTCAATCCCACCTTATCTTTTTCACTTAGCTCTACTCTCTGTATCTTTCGTTTGGGAGTCCGATCAATTTGAACTTCGACATCCACTACATACTATTTGCCATCATCAATCAAAAAGGTGACGGGACGTGCTTGCCGACTGACATAATTGTGTGTGTTTGTTCCTATACCTTCACATGGAACATTGTCCTTCTCATTTTTGAGGAACCAATTACCTACAACCTTTGCCAGGCCATTTTATTTGTGTGATCCGCTGAACAGTTTTAAATATAGATATTAACACAACAGTAATATATAGTTGAAAATGATACCTACACTTACCTTATAGCACTACCGAATACACGCAATGAACACCTGCTCGGTGATCTAGCGCAACCTAGCGTTAACTCTAAATATCGTCAATCTAGAAAAAAGGCCAAATCTCAAAAAGCTGCCAAAAAGAAAAAAGCAAAAATCGTCGTTTCAAATCGATCCGGGTTGACTCTTAATAATAAAAGGAAAAACTATTTATATCAATTTAGTGACGACGTCAGTGATCCATCTATGCTTGCAGTAGAACTCCTGACACATGTGGTGCCATTTTTTTTGTTGATTTATAATCTTGTTCAAGAATTTTAATTATGAAGTAAGAAAGTTTCATGGACAGCTCTTCGCATTAGCCTATAGGCTACCTGAAATGATCGTTTCCATTGCGTCGGTGGCGTCACCTAACGCCAAGTGGGTACGATGCGCTAAGGACCAGTTTGCACGAACTCAGATCAGTTGAAGGTAATTTATTTCAGCTTAGTACCGCAATAATAGCCCGAAGCAAACCATCGTAATTGTACAAGCACACACTGGAACACCATTGTTACTCACTCCAAAAGTCATATGCGATTGCTATATTAAGACTGACCAGATTAATAGGCAACAGATCTCGGAAATCGAAAAGGGAGCTTATTGTTTCGGAGAAGATTGCAATGAGACTTGCGTTAAACTAAAACTGAGAAGCTGAAAAGCCTGAAGATGTAAAATCACTAGGCCTGAAGATGTAAAATCACTGAACTGGGGATCGAGCCCTGATTTTCACGATTGAAAACTCCCTATTCAAATCACCGTGTAGGGTATTCTTAAGCTAAAGCGTGCACTTAAATGAAGATCAGATCAATTTACAATGACGTAAAACGGTTTTATTTAAAGGTTTATTCCATTCGACGCCTACTATAAACTCTATTATAAGGTTTTTCCTACAGAAACGAATAGGGCTTTAAGAGATATCTGCTCATATGCATACTTCAACTAGAATTAATATCCTCGTAATATTTATAGTTTCTTTCTCTCTTCATATAGCAGAGATTAGAGCTGAATCATCTGCTACAGCGGCTCAGGCCCGCACGGCTGCTACAAGTTACTCCTGCGGGCGACCCGCTGTTTCAATGCAGAATCAGACGAGCCGACGTGAATTCGATCATCATCATCATCATCGTCATGGTGGTTCTTGTTGTGGTTTCTAAGTAAGTTCGATTTAAGTTCAGTTTAATACATTCCATCGTTCAATTACCAAACAATGAATAATCACTCGAAAGATGTGAACACATTAAACCCAAATGTCCAGAACAGGAAAACTTACGCAGCAGAAACGGATAGTAGCAAAATCATTGGATTGGATTTAATCATGGTAACAACGCATTGCATAACCGTTAGTCACGCCAGCTCTCAATACCACTGTCCAGATGACAATCAATTCTAACAATCAAACAATGACAGTGAAGCTTCTCTTTCTCTCGTCGGTATTATGATCATTTGATGAATACCAGGGTATTGTTGTTACTAGGTTATAGCTATTGTTGTCGTCACAGATGATGGCTGGTGATCCTATGACTCTAGGGTTTTTGTATTCCTGTTAGCGACAGCTGCCAGCAGCAGACCGTTAGGCGCTGTGAAACCGCGCGTTTAGTCTGCTGAAGACCGAGAACTTTGCGTCTGCCGCTACGGAGGTGCCTTAGAAACCGACTCATCATCAGGCTACCTGAACGCGGTAGCCACAGTTGCTTGCATAGCTTTATTTGTGATAATTTGTAAAGTTATGATCCTGCACCGATTATTAGACTAATGATGATGTTAATCTGTTGCAAATCAGAAGTTAACTGTATCGTGACGAAAGGCTATTTCAATTATTTCTCAACTATGGTGATGTCTATTCACGTGTTTACTACAGCCGTCTTCCATGATATCTCTACGAATTTATTGTTCTGTGTTACTATTGAAGATGACACAACCGACGGAACGGCTGTACGGCGGAATGTCGATACATAAAATATATAAGTCGTCTATGTTACAAGGAACCACAAACGAGTAACGTAATACGCGAGATAATTGTTATCATGAAAATGAACAAAACAGAATCCAGTCTTGCTCGCTCATCCGTATTACTTGCGTGTTTGCCTAGAGTACACATACGTTGTGCATTCCGTCGCCGTTATTACTATCGGTACTATTATCATTATTACGAATCATATGAAGCGTTCGGCAACGATTTATGGTCGGTGACGCGGGCTGCTGCGCTGGCGGCAACGACGATACTCATTATTCTTCGCATTATTAGAGTGACCCCGTCACTTCACTCGATCTGTCTGTCTGTCTGTCTGTTTGTCTGTCTGTCTGTTTGTCTGTCTGTCTGTCTGTCTGTCTGTCCGTCCGTTTGTCTGTCTGTCCGTCCGTTTGTCTGTCTGTCTGTCTGTCTGTCTGGCTGTATCTTTCATCTGTAAACTCACGCCCAAGTTCTTGTCTTTGTTTTCAATTTTCGCGCTCGCTTCTGGCCGCCGATGCGTATGTGTGTTTTCACGTGTACTCTATGTATAGAGAGAGAGGAGAGAGAGAGAGAGAGAGAGCTCTCTTTTGTCCCTTTTTACACTTGTTCTCTGTCTCGCGCGCGCGCGCGCATTTTTCGTATTTGTCTCTCGTTCGTTTTTCTTCGTATAGAGCGCGCATGGTTGGTATATGGTGGAAGTTGGCAGCAGATAGTTTTATCGCACTGCGCTGGCGTGTTGTCATTCTGGATATTGTTCCGTGTTTATACGACGCTAATATATTTATTATTTTATCGTTTACACTTTGTGCTTTCGTCCTCTTCATTTTGTTTAATGAAAGTTCCTCGCAAATTACTCTGCCCGTTTACTTGTGGTAGGCGCTACATTTGACTATCGGTTTTACTGTTGCCATTATCATCAGGCTGTTATCGTGTATCCTTTGTTTGTCTTTCATTTGTTGTTAGGATAGAGTTGAGTATTACTGCATTAAATCTCATTCTTTGTCACACCTTTCCCTTGTGTATCCGTTCACTCTGTCGATGTGTTCTTGCTCTACTTTTCAGGTCTGTTTTCTAATATATAAGCGTTTACTGTTTGCAATGTATCTATATATGTGCGCACGTGTGTGGGTGTATGCGTGTCTCGTTTCCTGTTTGCGTAATTGTGGCAGTGGGCCTGCTTGCCAGCCAGGCAAAGGACGCAATCCGAAGCCCGGCGGCTGACGGCTTATATCAGCCGACGATCTAACGTCTTAAAACACATTCTTTATCCCATCACGTCCTCACAGTACGGAACCGGTCAATCAGAAAAAACGTTGGCGCTTGAAACAAACACTGGCAATTTTCTACTTCTCGTTCTTTTTTGTTTAATTCTCAATTACAACGTGTATAATGCGTGTGTTCACTTTTTTTTCTTCTTAAATCAAATTATCTCATAAGACGATCCTTCTACCAGACTGGGAAAGTTTACCATTGCGATAATATTATTAAGGACATATTGTCGTCATCATCATAGCTAGCCACCTAGACTAGCGCCCGGCGAACGTATCTTCGGTGTAATTCTCATCGAGCGGCAGCTGGCGACCTTTTTGTTTGTTTACCTGTTTCGTTGGCTCTCGCGCTTGCTCTTTCTCTCAATAGCAGCTATGTTACACGAGCCTATTACTGTATTCTCCCGCAATCTTTCCCCGTTTCTCCTAACTGCTCTCTCTACTCGAAATCCTACCACCCACACACCCACCCATCCACCCACCCACCCACCCACCCACCATATATTGTGTGTCACCCTTAGCGTGTGTCAAAGGCCCTTGCTGTCGTCAGATCCCTTAGCTAATGCAGTAGAGGATTTACCTGCCGACAATAACGGACGTCTGGCACTGTGCCCGTTACTGTCATCGCGGTAATAATAATAGTAAGAATAATTATTATCATCATAACTTCATCTGTATCAATCATGAATCAGCATTGTTAGCATTATACTAATAATTGTCATATTAATCATACTATACCATCGTCATCATCGTGATACGGGCCATTCGTTTGTTGGGGCGAAAGGGAGCGGAAGGTAGAGAAAGGCAGCTAACTTGGGTCAGCTGCTGAAGTCAAACGGACAGCGCTTGCTCTTTCTTCGAAAAAAATCTCCTTTTCACGCCCCGCTAGTTAATAATAATCATCACCCATCACCACCGCTATTATTGATGATGTGACAAGACGATAGTCATTTGCTCTGAATGGCCTTTTGCATTCATGGCGCTACTTGAGTGACCACTTGATGGCTGGTTTTATTGGCTCTGACGCTATCCGCCGTAGCATTTTCGCCAATTTTGTCATCATAATTCATCCATCCATCCATCATCTTCATAGACTAGCAATGCACTTGGCAAAGTCAAAGTGTATGACGGCGCTTTTTGTACACAGTTTCGGCCAGCGCCCCCAACGCAGGGAGGCTCGACCGGACCTATCTTCACGGCAGCAGGAGATGATCATATTATTATCATTTAAGTTTTATTTTTGTTATAACTCTCGTGTAGTATTGTTGCTGTTACGTTTCATTAGCGTCATCATCTTCAGTACAATCATTAATCACCTCTTTGACGTCTCTTCCTCCGTCCACTATTGTCCATTGTCATACTCACCACCATCATCATATTTATCAATATTTATCTGAATGTTTCATAATTATTATCGTTATCAATAATATTATTATTATTATTATTATTATTATTTAATACGACAAAGACAGATAACCTTTCAGCCTCTGCCCTGATGGGTCGTATGCCACTTACTTGTCACATTCCGCCGACCGCTACATATTATTATTATTTTTATCATTTCATGCATCTCCCTCTTGTTACAGTCATATCAATATATCAGATCCTGCAGTTTGTCCTGTTGATGCTGCGTTCGCACTGCGTGCAGGACCGTCGCATTGGGTCTGCTGCTGAAGGTGTAAGCAATAGCCTTCTTATTCGCTCACTTCCGAGGGCAACAAAGTTTGTTTGTCGAAAGATCGAACAAATTGGCGGAGGCCGTCCTTCCTCTGGACGACATAACCCCATCACATTCTTCATTATTATCCTTTTATTGTCATGGCTATTATTCGGCAGTCTTCCGAATGGTTGCTAGGGGCACTAATGGGAGTGACTAGACTAGACTAGATGGATGGAACGACGGACCATTTAGAAGAACCGAGCAACTACATTTGCTATCCATAATAATAACGGTAAGAAACATAGTAATAATAACAGAAGTAGGAAAGCCTCCGCTTCGAGGTATCAATGGTGAAATACCGTGCTGCAAGTCGAAAATAGGATAGATTCTTGTCAAAAAAACAATCGATTTTAGGTAATTTTGATTCATTACTTTACTTGCTACGTCTCATAATCACGCTGTCGTATTATGTTCGCATTACTCATATTGTTATGTGATAATCGTTAGTATCTGCCCTCGCGTGTACCCCTATTGCGGCGATGATTTTGTCAGAGGTGTTTCCTGTCAAAGCGAACTCAACGCGTTCGATATTTACTGTTAACTGTTATTTTTTCGTTCAATATTTTGCGCTCATTTTTATTTTTTTTCCACTTCCTCATAATCTCATCCTACGGTTGCTTTTCGAACGAGTTTTGCTAAGATCATACAAATTTATCATTTCATTATCAGAAATCCATCGTCTCGTTGGCTTGATCATTTCGTAATTCATGACCAGTTGCTAACAGGCTGTCGAACATAGCAGCATGGACACAAAGTCACGATCTAATACAATAATCTACTACGCTTCAGTGTAGAACGTTTTTCTGGCTAGAGGACTGTTATCCATTCCTCATACGTAGGTGACAACTACATACACATTTAACCTCGCTGTTTTCCTACCCGCTCTGCAATGTACTAGTTTTGTCATCGTCAAGCTGAGATTATCGGGTGCCATTTCCGATTTCATTGACACGCTAGTTAATCAACTGTCACGCACGGCCCGACCGGGTCCTGTGTTACGTACGTCCGAAACAAACCGACCTCCCGGGTGATTAAAACAGTAGCGTCTTATGAATTTAAAGTGATCATTTCGTTCGCTTGAACCGTACGTTATTATCGATAGGTGCATAACTTTGTTGGCCACTGCAACTGATCATAGTAGAGACCCTCTTCGAGTGCGTCGAGACTCTGTCGGACAACGGCCTAGCCCAAGTAGCAGGATGACGATATCAGCGACGATGTCTTTCGGGCCTCTTCCTTTTCAAGCTTTCTAAATGGTTCCTGACGGAAATACGTTGTATTGGCCGAAATGTATTCGATGTTTAGGATACGCCACTGATGCTTACATTTATCATCCTCTTTTACTCGATATGCCGCTTCGAACAGTTCTGGCAAGTAGCAGGGACGCACGTCACAGCGTTTTCTATTCTTTCCAGATCTGTCGGCAGCACTGTCTCCGTGACGAGCGCCCGTCACGTATTCGTGACTTTTTCAAGTGTGGGCTAACACAACTGTGTACAACACGGGTAAATTCTAATAAGTTGTATGAATGAGCGTTTGCCTGAACGGACTCTTTGGACTGGAGCTACTTTGGTCATTATACTAAATTAAAACACGAATTCAAGGACTGTAAGAGTTAGACTCTAAATATATTCCCCTTTTCGTAATTTGTCCGTTCAGAGGCGTCGCTTGAGTTGCTCTTGTAGTTTGGCATCACGAATGGGACGACTAAACGCGGCTTTCTCTCATGGCCTTGGTTGTCCTGCTTCAAAGTTTGGCGTTCGAGATTTGAACATCACGAATTCGACAAGATGTCGCAACCGACTGTTGCCTACGATCAATAGAGATCACCCTGGCCATCCATTCAGTCATTATTCATCTTATAATCATCATCAGAATCTTCACTTTAATAATACTCACGTTCTTCACAGTGTTATTTACTGCAATGTATATGTGTATGTATGTGTATATATATATATATATATATATAATCGTGATATATGTTCACTCTAAAAACTTGGCAGCTTTCTTCGTGTGTCCATGTAATTTCATCGTCATCCTTGGGTTCATAATGTGTGTATTTGTTACTTTATGCAATAATAGTTGTTGTTGTATGAATTATAAATAATAGTAATAATAATGATAGTAATAAGACTTTTCTGATTTCTTCATGCATCATCTTTTCTTACCCTCTCTGTGTTTGTAAGTACCTGTCCTGTGTTGACGTGTGTTGTGTGACGAGTATAAGCACCTAATTCAAGGTAAGGTCATTCTGTACGCTGGCCGTCACTCTAATGATAGCCAGCGAACCCTGACTCGACTGTACATACAAGCACTCCCATAGAGACCTGATGAGAGTTAGTTCAGTCACATCGATTTCATGAACTCCTCATGAAGTTCTGTCTTCAGCGTTTCAACAGCACTTAGATATTTGTTATTTCAAGAAACAGCATTTAGAGCGTTGATAACATTAAGAACGTTTCCTGTCACAATTGGTATTACGTTTATATATTACTTTTTATTCCAATATCAGTATTTCAATGATCGCAATAGCATGATCTTGAGTTCTGCTTGGTAAAAGTGCGGCAGCTTTTTGCTATCGGCATATCCTGCGATGGCAGAGTTTGTATATAGCATTTGTGCTTGCTGTATACGTTGTGCATGTTCACATGTTATTAAGCTTAAGGTATTGTCACATTGGCATTGTTGGTGTCGTAAGTTAAATACTTATTTATGTTTTATGTATACTTTATCTCTTATCGTTAAACCTCTATTTCGTTCTCCTTTCTAGGAGTTGTCTTAGCAGATCTTGGGACAGTCAGAACGATTTAATTGCAAAGGTTGTTGTCGATCTTTGTCTTTTTATGTTGTTGCTGTTAACTATGTTTTTTGTTGTTGTTCCTATTGTTGACATAGTATCAGTGTTTCAGAGAATAGAAAAATGAGCTTTTGTTTTGGTTTGTATCTTATTTGTGTCGCCTTGTCGAGCTGAACGGATGTAAGGCCCAGCCGGGCGCGGCAGCGGGGGCCCTACGAGGCCTCAGGTCCCCACTCGCGCGCGCCAGGCAACTCAGCGGCCTACCGATAACCTGGAGTGCCGCTATGCCGAAGATGGTCGTTTCGGTTCGTGTTTCATTCAGATTCAACGCATTCCACCATTGGATGGTCTTTCACCCGCACCACTTGCATTAGCGGGGCCGGGAGGCAGGGTCCTACGTTATGATTGTGCGACTGCACGGTAGCGCTATGCAGAAGTTCAATTCGAGGTGAAGCGAGCTTGAGGGCTTCACATGCCGCCGGCCCCGTTGCAAATAAGTGTAGTAAGCTTATGTACGTATAAAAGCGACGGTACACGAATAGATAGACATACACATAGACACGGGACAAGTCACGGGACGGGCATTAAAGGAAAGGTAGACGTGCAGTCTGTTGGTCATTGAGGCCGACCAGATGGATGGCCGCCAATTGTTTGGACAAGCATTTTGTAGAAAACAGATTATTAGAATTCTCATAGTTATTTGTCCTGTAGCAGTACCAATTCAGAACGATGAGACTGCCCGTCAACCTGAGTGGATCTAGACATGTACACACAAAAATATAAACACACCAAGAAGGTAGGAATAAAGACACCGAAAACCAAGAGACTCTCACAACTAGAGAATAGATTGCCGAGGGCCAAGCGAGCGCTAAACACGCATACGCTTGGCGTTGTTTCCTACAGCACGCAAGTCCCTACGCAAAAGTTTGGTGGAAAGCTACCATGGGTTATTATTGCACAGTGTTGTTATTATTATCATTATCGAAGGGAAAAAATTTTACAGGTAGCTAGAAGTGGTCGATGTTCTAAGACAAGGACATCAATCCTTTAAATATTGACAGTTACTAGCAGATTATTAAAGATACGTACATCAATTGAAATGTTATTTAGTTAATAGTTAAGTGGTTAGTTAGTTACACACGAATGTAGAACTGTTGGCTTATCGACACTTTGGCCTTGTCAGCGGGGGAATCGTCGGCGTCAATAACGAGGAAGCCGCGATTGGCCAGCGGAAGCAAAAGATCGCAAAAATACGCTTCGAGACATCGTCTGAATATTGGTCAGCAGAGAGGGATGGTCAGATATCGCAGAGGTAAGCGATGCCTTAGTGCTGGCTAACTTTCACCCCAAGTTTCCGACGCCTCGGACACACCGGCTGCGTCATCGGTACGCAACGACGGTACAACATCAAAACGGCTAGACAGAGACTGTATGTACATGGATAGGCCCGAGGGTGGGCCGCCACAAACAGGCTATCGTCATCTGATGCTGTTCAGGCCTGTTTATATTGTTTTTGAGAAGTGTGTGAACCAGAAAGAGCAGAAATATCAGCCACAAGGGCGCTTGGTCACTCCTATGAAACTTCTTGGGCAGCGTATCTTTCATTCCTGTAATCTCTTTTTCCTCTCAGCATTATTATTATTTTTATGTTCACTTCGAACGCAATCTGAACCCACATCAAGGACCATTGGCAGAACTCGTTAATGTGAGTTGCATCCTGAGCAGGCATTACGATTCCGCTGGATCTATGTGTGTTTTGCGGAAGCAGAAGTTAAACGAAGCTAACAAAAGAGACGCAAACGAAACCGGGAAAAGAGAACTGAAACAAAGTGGGCGCAGGCTAACGCCTTACCTTGAACTGCGAAACGGCCGATTTCAGGCCCGTCTCACACTACGAAGCGGTAGGCGAGCCGAGAGCTCGGCGTCTCTTCTGTCCTCTTCTCATTCATCCAAGTACTCAGGTGTCGTGTGTTTGTCAAGTACTCAACACAAGGGATCTGACGGTCGGAAGTTGGTGCTCAAGGAAGGAACAAAGTGGAATGGTGAGGAATGCTTGAACATTAACGTCATGTCATTTGTTTGTGTTATTCAATCTGTGAGTCATCAATCAGTCATGATTACATTTAATCAGTCAGTCAGTTAGTTAGTTAATGAAAGGTCGTATTTGTAGAATCTGTGGCACTTTCAGCAGTATTCATAGTTAAATTGATAGTCGTTGTTAAATAGTTTCGGTTAATAGTTAACTGTAGTAATAGTGACTGTTATAGTAATAACAATACTGGTTCGTTTGTGTTTCGCGATGTACATTTCTTGTCATCGTGACTCGTTCTTTCTCGTCTCGTTTTATATTCCTGTATTGTTTCTGTTTCTATTGTTCTTGTTGTTGTTGTTGTTGTTGTTGTTGTTGTTTTCAGTCAGTCATTACTATGACGGATAGTCGCTCTCATCCTAACAGTGCTGGCGTGGCAAGGTTTTTTTCGTTGCATTACTACACGTGGTAATAAATAATTGTAGGTGGTCATTAGTAGTGTAAATCTTGTTTCAGTTGTTCATGCTCTTGTCGAGGCACAGATGTCTTGCTGGCAGGCAGGGATAGTGTTGTTGCGCGCTGAAGTATTGGTTGTTATGGGCGAAGATGAAAATTGTCTGTTTGGTAGAAGTAGGATTATCGGCTTCCCACTTCTACCGCGTCTCCCCTTTTGTTCTCATCGAGGTTGGAGACCTCTTGTAAGTTCTGTCGATGGCTGTCGGGTCGACCGCTGGGCTTGCTGACAAAACGGAAAGGGTCAACTCGACATTATTTGTTGGCATTGATCTTGGTACTGGAGTTCGGTTAGCGTTGCCTGAAGTAAGATTTTTCGTCATACGTTATGCTTAGCGTAACATTTGCTTGACGCTGCAGGTTGCTTTGAAGGCCGTGATTTGTTCCATGGCTTCGATAATGCAACTGCAACAAGGCGAGAGGTGGCCAGAAAGCCTCGTCGAACCCACGTCTTTCTCCATTTGTACCTATACGAGCTGATGTTTACATCAAGGCACAGCTATTTATAGGTCTGGCTCGTATGATTAAAACTTTTCGTCACCATTATTACTATTGTATTTGTTTTTGTCAGTTCTACTTTTTTGTTGATTTTAGCATTGGGCGTGGGTTATCGCGTCAACTCGAACCGAGCAATGCATCGTACGTTGGAAAGATCCTAGTTATCTTGACCATGACACGCAATCAGACGACGTCGGACTGGTGACATGGCGTGAGAGAATTGACATCACTCGAATGTACACTTCATATACACCCATAGATAGAGCTACGTTAAACGTTATTACAGCGGCCATAAAGGGTTGCTTTAAAGAGAGTTAAACACGTTTGATATACGCGGTGCTTATAGAGATAATTAGAGAGTTTATATAAAAAGCAACACGCCTTAGAGGCAACTATTTAAAATTTAACTGCTAGATAGAAAGATAAAGCTGCATTGTCGCTCTAAAACTGCTTGTTGATCGAATAGGTAGTTAGTCAGTCGATCGCAAACGACATGGCAACCGTCCAGAACGAGCCCGAACGGCTACGCTTGACATTGTGGATCATTATAAAGACCCTTCGCATACGAAACACTTTGCACGGCTCAGGCAAAGCTGTACAATCTAAGGCTGAGAGAGTAGACTGAGTGAATTGAATCAAATCGAAAGATAACATCTATCGATCTGTTCCGTAGGTGTTTCAAGATTTCGAGACTTCTCGGCTGCGCGAACCATCGCGATCAGCAGAATAGCGAGCAGCACTGGCAGCGCTGTTTGTGCGCCTGTCGATCCGGGACCCTGTGTCGACAACTAGTACCGTGTTCATGTCTTCTCTATCAGACAAGATCAGGTCAGACAAGTGTTGAGGCGCAGATCCGGAGTAGCGGTTGTGCAGTTTCGAAGGTTTGTCTTTCGGAGTCGCCGGTACATACATAAAAGGCATATATTAAGGCATTGAGCGCTGCATTACAGAGTAATGCCGTGATTGTAGCAATTTCCGAATTGGTGGTTATAGACGTCGACAGACTATAATAATGTCGATAGACATTATCGGAGACGACGTAGCGTTTGTACGCATTTTAAGTATCGCAATTGCCGCAATACTGTAGAGAAATAGCTTGAAAAATTAGTCAGCAGTTTTAGTCAGTATGGATAGTTAGTAAACAACGTAGATATCGTTACGTGGCTACAGGGGGGTTCGTGTGATATTTCACATAGACATTTGATGATGTCGAAGACTTTGCTGTATAGATAGCTTCGTAGAAGTGCCTGACAAGCTGGAGTTCGTAACATCTCGGCTGGGTCACATTGGGACAATTCACAGGGCCTCCTTGCCTGACTCTCTGGCAACTTACATCTCTCTTCTACCTCATTCCATTCGCGTTGCTGACTCTCAGCCGAGGTCCCGGTTTGCGTATCCACTTCGCAGTGGCTGCCGTGCGTCCTGTCTTGAACAGCCTGCATCGTCAGCGCAGCAATCCGTGTGTCACTAACGATTGCCTCGGGCTCACCGGCCGCTACAACCTTTGTAGCAGTAATCGTGGCAGTAGTTATAGTCGTGGTAGCTGCGGCAACACCTGGGACAAGGTGGAAAGACTGAGCAAAAATGGCAATAGAAGAAAAATGGCGACCCGAGCCACTGCGCGAATGGCAAATTACACGCAGGGAGCTGCATTGGTCGATGGCTTTGGTGTGCTCACGGCCTAACAGTCGTTTGGCGCTAGGGAAGAGGCGATCCTTGCGAATTTTCATTCTCATTCGTTTTTTGATCAATGGTTATTTTAAGAAAATGAGCACTCTAGTTTTACCACAACCGATGCTGCAGAACTGACAGCTGAATGGACGAGTAGGCAGCAAACGTGTTAACCTTTTAGGTTAGGACACTCCGATGCGGCTTCCGGCGCTGCTAGTCATCATTGGTACTACGGCCTGACGACGACACCAGCCCTGAGCTGTTGTTGCCGCTGAGCAGGAGGATTTTCGGTTGCATGAAAGTCCTTTAGGGCATGACTAGCCGATCGAACGGCTGGTCAAGGAGGTCCCTGTAGAAGACAATCCCGGTTTAAATGACAACGTCTCAATACTCAACGGTGCGTAGAGGTCCCGACACCACTTCATTCACGGTGGAATTTTCGTCGGTGGGCTTCGCACGTCGATGGCCGTAAATTGCAAAATAAACTGTGGCGTTGGTGGTTCGGCCTGTTCTAGCTGTTACCTTCGCAACGAATAGGATCTCATGGGCATGTTTTGTTGAAATGAACGAGTTTTGCAAAGAGTAGATTGTGCATGTAAATATTCTGCTGTTCTTAATCGCCTCGAAGGTGTTGTCGTTATCCATGGAACTATGGCGTTATTCAGGTGTTAAATAGGTGTGCTGTTATTTTTGTTGGCAAACTTCCCCGAGTTCGGAACAGAATGATGCCGGGCGGCACCGCGAACGATTGGTTTCGTTTTCTCAGTATTGTACTTGGTAGAGTAGCATATGTGGCAACAGAAGTGTGATATGAGTAACAAAATGAACAACAATAATAATAGCATCTTTAATATGATTAGTACTAATTGTTTGTTTGTTTGTTTGTATCTATTGATTACAATATGGTCAATAGCATTCTATACTTGATTAAATTACTTTTATTATTATTATTAAGCATCTCCTCCTGTGGATCATTTGCTGGATGGAAACGCTATGGTGGTAACACCTTGGCTAACTGGCAGTTGATAGAAAAACGCTCATCAGGACTAACAAAATGTTTCGCTTGAGAACACTCCGCGACTAACAGAGATAAGCGCGCAGATTTGTTTATAAAGCGCGCGATACTTATAAACAACACAGTACACTCTTTTTCCTTAAATGTTTTTTGAACACTTGATTTCAATCAGTCAATCAGACAGTCGATCAGTTTGTTGTTAATAATCATCAATCAGCCTAAGCTATTAACCAGTCAATCGAGCAGCCATTGATCATTAATCGAACACTAAATCATCATCCATCAGTCTGTGAAGAGTTAGCTCATCAGAAATCACCACAAATTACGAAACTCGAGTTAGGAGTTGTATAGCACGAAATCTCAATCTTCCAAGAGAAATGCATTGATCGATCACACTTCTAACGTTATATTTCAAATGACTATCCCAGTCGTCAATCAAAATCAATCAAATTATCAATTGTTGTGCTTTATATATATATACATATATATATATATATTTATATATACCTGTTGACCAATTCCCAGTGGTTGAGAGCGATAGCGCAACTCACATACTCTAGCACTTGCATTCAGTCAACATTTGCAAATTTGTGCCCTGCCCAAGCCCCAAGCGGAACGGGCACTAACTCCTTAACCCATTTTACGTTACCGCCGATTACGCTAAGTAAATAATGGAGCTAATATTGTTATTCCTTTGATCTTTGAGAAATGGGAGATAATGATCGTTTTAAGTTACGATCATTAAGTAATACATTTATTCGATTGTTCAGTTAAAACCTCCGCGAGAGGCCGGCGGCCAGACACATGGGTCGGCCGGAGCGAAGAGACTGGGCCTGAATCGACCGCGCATCCATCCGTCCCAGAACAAAACGAAGGGCCGTCTGTCCGCTTGTTCGTCTGTCTATCTATCAAGTAATCAACCAGTCCTATGTTTGTTTACCTGTGGCAGAACCAAACAACGCAGCTCGACCTCCGCCCGCATATAGAGTGCGAGCGAACAAATAGGTGCGAAATGGCATCGTAACCTACGGCTTTAGATCGCTGAAGTGGCCGGCAAGCGCACTTCGAGAGTATCCACGTAACGACCTCCTCACATACACTTTTAGCCGCTCACTATCAGTCTATCATTTAATTAGTACAAATATTCAGCGTGTACGTTCAGTACAGCCCACACGTCCCGTTAGCTGCCTGCCCGTACGTGTGTGGAGAGCGAATAAATGTAAAACCTAACGACTTCAAATGTCCCTAAGATAGACAGTCGGCTTGCGTCGAAGTTCTTGTTGCGTTAGTCGGCGACGGATTCAACATTAATCGATGACTTGTACGGCCAACTAACTAGCCAATGAAGTACAATACGCTGCTAAAAAAAAAACTATGACGTTAAGTGAGCTTCTGTGAAATTGAAGATTGTCATAAGTATTTCCCATCCTCGTGATACCGGTTTTTTTCTTGCAAAATGTGCGAAGATGGTCTCGCTTGAATACGGTCCAATGCCAACGTATTCTCTAATTACGTATCAACCATTACTCAACGTATAGGTTAGGACTGAAGATTTTACGTCGTCGTATAAAATTCCTTTGGATCCTAACTCAAAGACGCCTGTGGGCGAATCAGGGAGGACCGACATTAATTATTTAGGTAGCTTGATTGCTCGTTTATCTGTTATTACGCGTAAATCGATTGATAGAAGAGAGTTATACATAGTCTACGTTGTCAGCCGTGTCGCCCAAGAAAGCCAGATGAGCGCCGCGCTTCGCGAAAGAGGCGCTGCCAAGAAAATCCAGAGCAAATGTCCTTGAGGCGAACAATCTGCAGTCTGGTTTGGATAATTCAGACAATGGTTCAGGCTAGAGGAACATACTGTTGGAGTTGGAACGTTGCGTTCAGGTTGCGCTGGAACAAATGCCAGGGCTGATTAGTGAGATTTGTTTGTAAAAAAAAAAGCCTCTACCTTATGTTGCCGCATGAGTTTCACTCCCTCGAGTCACTGAATGAAAGTTGTTAGCAAAGGGTAAAGTACGCCGAAAACAAGTCGCTAAATCATTTTTATGACAGTAACCTTAAAACCAGTTGGTATTCAGTCATTATTGCTTTTTTAAAATACTTCTTTAAGACAAGCGGATCTAAAACAGGTCTGTGATTAGACTGTCACCGTAATGGGGTGGCTGACTTGGCCGGTTGGTAAGAGCGCTGGGAGCTGGTGGGAGGGCTAGCGTAGTAAGGGTATCCGTTTGCCATAACAACATAATAGGGGAAAAATTTCCGATATATTTAAAATACATTGCCATCGGATTTATGCTGCACTCGAAAGCGTATTGAAATTAGACGTGGACGATAAAAAGTCCGCGAGAGCATCGACCTGTCACGCGGCTGCTGCTGCTGCTGCTGCTGCTGCTAAGACGTAACGGAGCTTTTACACCGGATACACGAATAATATAGTAATAATAAAAGATGTCTTATGAAATGATCTTCTAAATGATTTACATGTTATATCATGCTGTTTCTAGGTTATTTTCATATAGCTAATTGCATTATGTGCCAATAGTATGTAATAGGTTTAGTTTTATAATGGAGATGCTTGAAGATCGTGTAGTCGAAGCAGCGGATTTGATTGCTGGTTTAAAAAAAGGGTATGACACATCCAAAATATAGAGATGGAGGACGAAGTCTACTAATAACGTCCGAGCTGAAGAAAAATGCTGTTTGCTTTTCAACACAAATAATTGTACGTAATTTCGAAGCTGTAGTACAATGTTTTTTTCCCACCTTCGTCAAGTTGTCTGCCATTGTTCTATCTTTTGTTCTCGTCTTTGCTTCACTGTTCCAGTGGGTTTGATTTTCAGGAGCGTCGTATAATTCATGTACCAAGTGTGGTCGTGTTTTCTGTTCGATTGCGCTTCCGAGAGCGTAAACAGTAACATCAGTAGCTGTGGAAATGGTTTCGGGCTTGATAACAGTTGAAACGTAGTGGTAGTAGTAGTAGTAGTAGTAGTAGTGATTTGGTAAGAGTGGTTAACTTGGTAAAATTGGTGTATCACGAGCACTTGCCCCAATAGCCGTTGGGCCGCCTGGTACCGAACTGGTGAGCGCAGGGCGCGGCAGCCATATGGCACGCGCCTGGGTGGCACGGCTGGAGAGACTGCGCTGCGCGAGGAGAGGCCACACTTGGCATGGGCCCCAGCTCGACGTCGCTGCCATCGTCCCGAGCTTTCATCTGGTTGGCATAGAAATCGTAGAGACGTGACAGCACCACGGTCGCCATTGCGCTACCGTGATTGTTTTCTATCAGACGGAGCACGAACACTCCGTCCCAGCCGAGGTAGTTGACCGCGATTTTGCGGCTTACTCTGGACAGTTCGCCTAGACTTACCATCCGCGTCCGCCATAAACACAATCGGACGAACGCGAACCGGTTGCAACGGAAGCATCTCCAGAGCCAGAGAAGTAGCGATGCGACGTTCAGGGGTAACAGAAGGGCCAGATAGAACCACACCACAGAAAAGATCTTCTCATTGAAGACGTTAATGGGCAATACGCATCGACACAGGTAAGTTCGAAGCCCGCCTTGTAGAGCGGCGCGTACCTGACAGAGGGTTTGCAATGGGAACCGGGGGGAATTCCACCAATCCCCGTCGGCCGCTAAACGTCGTGCTAGTTCGAAGCCGTGACGTAGGAAGCCTCGTCCTAGGAATGCGGTTAGCAATAGAAATTGGAAACCTACATTTAGAACGTACATCGATTTCACAAGCAGGTATAACAGACACAGATAGCCGGCGGGCCCCCCTATACAGCGGCACGCAAGGGGGAGTCCGCAGGCCGGGTCTGTACAGCACCCTGCATTGCCGGCGACCAAGGTATGGAACTGGTCGACGAACTCTGCCAAAAGGGCCTCCCTCTGCTGACAACCTGGTGGCAGGCTGGCGATATCTGAGGCTCTTTTCAGCAAGCGTCGTAGTTTGACGCCTGCGCTATGGGCGCAGGCGCCCCACAAGACGAAAGGCAGATGGAAACAGGCTCCTTGAACGAGCAGTATCAACGGTGCCCATTGATAGTAGCTGACAGAGACGCGCCTTAGGCGCTCGGACGCGGCGGGCGGAGTCTCAAAGCCCGCATAGTCCATCTCCTCTGGTTGCACCCGAGGATCGGGCGGCTCTCTAGGAGGATCGAGATTCTCATCGTCTGATTCCGTTACGAGGTAATATGTAGACGCGGTCCAGCAGTAGCTGTTGACGAATCTTGCTTGGGCGTCTGTGAAGTAGGTCGGTGTGAAACATTCTATTGGATCTCCAATGTACTGCTTAGTAAATATGGGCAACGCCAAGAACAGGAACATTACAAGAGTATATTTTCGGTTGAGTTTGTCCACTCCATCGTCAATGGGCACGTGGATGCCCCCGATAAGGTCATGGAAGCGGAACAGAAATGACATCTTGTGGCGCCCCGACTGGTTGTGATGGTGGTGGTGCGGTGGATGCGAAGAAGAATGGTGTTCCTGCGTCGTCCTGCTGGCTGCTTACGCGCCAGCCAGCGAAACGTCCGTCCAAGCCGCGCGCTCTCGAGCTTTCTTTCAGGGCTTGCAGTAGCTGCGGAAAAAGCGTTGATGACAGATACAACGGGCTCGACCAACACAGCCGAGCTCGGTGATATTGACGAGCGGATGCAGTTATCGTTGCTGCTGCTGCTTTTGCTGTTTCTAACTAGAAAATCGCTGATGTTGCTGAAGATTGATGTTGCGGTTTGTCTCTTTGTTGTTGTTTTTGCTGCTGCTGTAGCTTTTGTAACTGCAACTGCTGCTTCTTTTGCTGATGTACACCTGCTGTAGCTATTGTTGATGTTGTTGTTGGTATCGATGTGACAGTCGTTGTTGTTCTTGATGTTGTTGCTGCTTTTGCTAGTGTTGCTGTTGAAAACCTTATTATTATTACAAATAATATTATTAATATAATTATTATTGTTAGTGCTGTTATTATGATTAATATTATTATTATTGATGTTTGAATGCTTGGTGTGTTTGATGGTGGACTTGGTGTTGGTGTGGTCGTTAAAGCTGTGGCCTATAAGGCCAAGCCTGTCAGTAGGCGGATTATTTTCTTGGCTTCGCTCAACGACGATTCGGTTTCTTCTCTCGATGTAAAAGCGGTTCGGTGCAAAAGCGTTAGGCCTAAGTGGCCTTACGCGGCCGTCGCCGTGGCAGTGGTCACTGTTTCTTCTACTTCGGCCGGTTTTCTTTCTTCTAGTGTTGCTGTTCGTGCTCCTGCTGCTTCTACAGCCGCGACCGCAGGACGCAGCTATCGCGGCCCCGCAGCCGCCTTCCCTCCTACGAGGCCGGCCTGGCGCGGCGCTGCGATGACGCCGGAGATCCAACGATTGAAGACGCTTCGGGGAGACTCTTACGAGGGTTGACGAACTGAATATTGCGTCGATACTTCTGAGCAAAATGCCAAGGCCTGATGTCGACTTCGAGCGCCAGTCGGCGACACCAGAACCAAACTCGGGTATTCTGGCAGGTGGGTGGATTACAACTTCACTGCTGTATGTACTACCTTTGCTCCTGCTGGTTTGGGTTAGGTGCAGGCTGATGCTAAGCGCGCTAGGATGATGCGTATCCCGAAAAAAGACGCCTCTCGCAGTCTTCGATTCACTCCTTTGCTCGACACAGGGGCGCATCTCCGAGGCTAGCATGGCACCTGTAAGCAATTAACATCAAATGCGCAATCATACAAACATAGCATTGTTACCAACTTTAGATACCGCAATCAGGATTAACAAGCATTTAATTACAATTTTAAAATTAACAATTTGCAAGAATTTTTTTAGAAAGAACCAACAGCCTATAATAAATCCAAATTAACGTCTAAGTGGCGTTTTCAAATGCCGCGCCTCTATGTATTCCCGTTCTCGCGTTTAAGCATCGAATGCTTTTTACCCCCAACGCCTTACCTAGAAATTGTGACCTAATTGCTAAGAAATAAGAAGCCTATTTGCGTCTCGGAATCACATCGGGTATCGACTAATCACTTCATATTGGCGGTGGCATAAGAGAGAATTTTTCATACACCAAACGTTGACGAGGACCTTTTAAAATCACTGTATCAATAGCATGGTCTAGGATGAACAAGAGGTGAGTGACAGCACACGAAAATCACCAGTTCAAACGCCTAAGTATGATGTTTAATCCTGACCGCGGGCAGACCTAATCTTTCGGATTTGCCTGCTTGAGCGCACTTGTTAGGTGCTCACTGCGCAGTAACAAAAGATTCGGTCAAGAAAAAAGTCATCAGATTTAATGCGGTACTCTGCTAATAACCCGGACAGCGTCATACACAAAAAGGAGTGCCAATCATCGCATTAAAACGTCTAGCGATCCCTTCTGCTGTTAGAACTGAATGAAGCGGCACCGAACGATCAGGCAACTACCTCATCCCAAGCGTAAGTAATAGCCTCTGAGGTCCAGTGATCATTATCTGTCATAAACTGCATCCACTTCTCATGCACGCTCTCGAGCGACCTCTCATCTGTTCAGACATTTCATGGGGTTCGCCATGACCAGAGCCCTCTGAGGGGAGTGCTTACCACCGTGTGCCGTCATTGTAGAATGCCAGACGCGTAAGTTAGTGGGTTGGGAGCACTTGCACAGTGATGGCTGTTTTCTTTCCCGGGCGTACTTTGAGCCTTAACAAATTCCAGTCACCGGAAGCTTTCCTCTCATGTGCCCAACTACAAACGTTAGAGATGTGTACGTCAAATCCAAGAGTCATCCCAACACTGTGGGTCACTTATTGGCACAGAGATGGGGGATAAATACATGATTGCCGACTGCAAACCAAAGAATCGTAGTCGCCGCCATTGCCATACTGGTACTGATGCTTAGGAATGACCAGTTGGATAAAATGGATGAGCAAAGGAAATGTGGGTGAACATGAGCAAGACGGACCAAAACCATTAGTAACGTCAAGTTCGGGGATAAGGCAGCCGAGGCTAACGGTCCTACCGCCAGTCGTATCCTGCAGATAAAAAATGGGTGTGATTTCATCGTTGGACAGGCAAATTATTCATTTGCTCCCTTGGTACGGTGGTGGTTTCCTTTCACAGTCTTTCATAATTTCTTGGACTATTTGTAGTCCTTCGACAGTTTCTCACTGTGATGACCATTTTGCCCCACATCCCTATGTTCTCGCTTTTATCTTTCCCGCCTCGTTCGTTCTCTTTTCAGTGTGCCCTTTTCTCAAACAAACCACTACGGCGGTAACAGTGCGCCATGAATGCCTCAGGACGGTGGTTCAAAAAATGCCAGGCGGGCATCTCTTCGCAGCTAGTCAGTCCATTCGTACCCCGTAGCTATTGGTGCCACTATCACTTCCATATCATGTCAGTTGATGTGCCACTCCCCTTGCTTGCTTCGGCAGTGTTCCCTTCGGACGACGATGTGCACACTGTATTGCGTTGCACCGCAGTCACATTACTAAGCGCATTGCATCGTGCTCAAGTCGTCCATCTTCGTCTGATTGTAGCACAAGGTGTCAGCGAAGCATCCAAGGAGCACCGTTAACACTGCAGAAGATCTATGAAATAGTATTGTATATGTATGAAAATGGATCACGTGGTTGGATAGAGGTGTAGGTCTTTGAGCAGTCGCGTTAGGCTCTCTCCAGGAAACTATATTTAGCAATTAAAAAATCCAAAAAGTACCTCTTACTTTTCGCGTAATAATGTGGTTTTCGTTTTTTCCGAGTACACCTACCCACTCTGTATCCTCTAGTTCCAAAAAGAAATCCGTGGATGCGGAACATGGATGTTGTGTGCTTTGTCATGCACGTGTAGAAGCACATGAATTGGAAGCTGATTATAAGGTAATGCTTTGGGTGCGCTAAAATGTAGCCTCGTACCATAACTGTCTGTAAACATTGCATTCCACGTAATGTTCCCCAAAGGCCCTATACGATGCCTGCATTGACGGCCCGTAGTAGGCAATGTTTGACCCTTGAAGCTACAATGTCGTCATTTGTAAGGTCTATGTGTGCCTTTTGTGCTTCACTATAGTGGAGCCAACGTGCAAATTAGATACTCTTTGCATCAAAATAGCAACCGTGTCAATTTTCTGCTGACTTGTATACTTTCACTATTTTTTTACTATATCTCGTTTGAAATTCAGCTCTCTCGTACCGCGTTACAACATAAAGGTCATCAAGTAGAGAATATACTCTAGAATTGAGGTAGATATGCATACTATTGCAAACTGATACGTCTAATTGAACGTCCAATAGACTGGGAATCTGCAGAAGTTCAAAAGGCTTGTGCTGAGCACGTAACTTGGCTTTTCCCCTTATCCCTTTAGTATCCGTTCACTAAAAATTGATATCAAACCAATTTGAAAATGTCCGCAAAATCGTCTATATACACATCTGATTTGTACCAATAAATATTATTGACAAGCTACGAGCCCACTTTACTCTATTTGAGAGTACATAAACAGTAAGTTCAGTAAGAGCAGAGTTCAGTAAGTAAAAATTTGGTCGGTTACTGGAAGTGGGTTAAATACGATTTTATAGATCGTTGAAGTAACACTCACCAATTCACTATCCATGAAACTAGCGGGATACGCAAGACACGAAACGGTGCGTTTTTCTCTCAGCTAAAAAAATTTCGAAGACGAGTTCTAGACAAAATTAGATTAATTCAAGCAAAAATCGCACGCGGTCTCGCTGTATTTTTGCGACCGCCGGATAGACTTAACAGGACGCCTATCTGTACTGAAGTTAAAAAGGAAAAACTCAGCAATGGCCAGCTTTTAAACATTCGACACACTAGATAGGGCTCGTTTAGCAGAGGCGAGGAACAGGCAGGGTAAACGACAACGAAAAAAAGCGACGATGTAGTGGGGGAGGCGCGACCGGTCGACCGACGCAGGAATAGCAGCCTTCAGCTGGCTTGATGAAGGACACACCATTCACGTTCAATTATAACCGACTCGTTAGAATATTCGTTTTCAACCGGCCCATGGTTCCGCCACACTTTAACAGCGTTTTTTATTTAAAATAGCGACATCGTCTTTTGTGTTGATTCGTTTTGCCGCTGAAGTGGATTGTATTTGAAAGTATCTGAAAACGAGAGCAGAGCGCGGGCGAGCGCATGGCGTTACTACACTGAATTCTTTGACGTTTGAGCTGGTTATCGCGCACTTCGGTTACTCGTACGATGCAGAGCCCGCCGGAGTGACTTGTAGTAAGAAAAGAAGCCTGAACGTCCTCAGTGCGATTTTATGGCCGGCGGCAGCTACTGTAGCCGTTCGGCCTTAATAAGTTCGAAGGTCTAAAGCGGACGGGGAATCAAGTCCACTAAAAAACTGCAACGACCTGAAATGCTATTGAGCACGTCTTCCTGTGGGCGATACTTACGGAGTACTCATCGTCGCCAGACTCACAGATAGGGCAGTAGCTAAGCTGGGTTAGATAACAATCCCAGACTCGGACCGCTACAGATCGGCTCTTTTACAAGTTCTACATAAAATAACTATGTGAACTGCAGTAAAGATGTGGTCCAAGGATTTCATGGACCTGTTAAGTAAACTACGTTCTTCAGAAAACGAATTAAAAAGTGTTTGACGGTAGATTTTACGTATGGGTCATATGAGGCATTAGAATTTAATACCTGTTAACAGTATCATGAATTCTGTGGAGCATCAGAATAGACGGTTACCTTGTTTTTAACTCGACGAAATGGCGTACTTGAGAAGCCGACATAATATATATAAAACATAAGGATAATATAAAAAATCATAAGTTACTGTAATTGCTTTAAGCCTATCAACACACGTGAGCACTGCTTGTACCTCCACGGAGAACGACTCATGAAAGGTGCGTTTTAGGATTTGGCCACGGCACCACTGGACGTATTTAACTTTGCACATGTTCTCATACTACGAACTGGACACACAAATGTCGTTGTAGAAGAATGGTCCAAAGGAGTGTTTGCATCCTTCGCTCGCTCATCGCGTGGGTGAATGAATCGCAGATTTGATTAAGCAAATCATGTGAAACCCAGCTCTCATGTTTTCTCCCATGTAGCGGGGAACATTGATAATATAAATAAATCGCAAAAATACTGCGTTTTTGACGTGCTGAAAGCAAGTATGCTATGGAAGCGACGGCTTCTTACGCGTCAAACGCCGAAGTGACGCTGCTCCCATTTACACATGAAAAGCCGCTGAAATCTGTGAATATACTTCTCAAACCATATCGAGCTAGAACTTTACTTCTGTTGTGACTTATCTACACTCTATTCGAGTGTTGTTTACTACGGGAAAAAAAAGTGAGCTAATTCACATTAGGAATTCCTAGCAAAGTCAATGCCAGTTGGGGCAGGGACGCGCTGAAATCCTCGCACCAATGGTTGTATGTCCGTACTCTAAATAAGTATCTTAGCCAGCGGCTAACTACTTCACTCACTTCGAGATAACTTTATTGTAAATTTTATATTAGTTTATTCAGTTTAAAATGTGCCAAAGCACACTAAACTGATTCATAGAAATATTAATCGAACGACCTTTTTACGACCAGCTCTTAACTTATGTGTACCAGAAGGCCGGTAGCGCGCCCGACCTATTTAAGGCAAAACAGCTATTTTCTTTGGGTTGTTGCAAACCTGCTTATAAATTACCAGATGCTCATTAATCTTTATTTTACAAATT